CTCTGTCTCTTGAATTCCATTGGCAGGCAGGCTTTTCCCACATGACTGCTGGACCTCGCTTCTTTAGCCAATCTCACTTTGACCTTCAGGCCCTGGTGCATGCTGTATTTCTTCTGTAGCAAGTGCTGGCTGCAGATAAGTCCCTTTCCTTCTCATCAACAAAGGCTCATAAAGGCTAGGATGCTGAATAGAACATCCCAATGCTAGAATCTGGACACAGCATAAAGCTGGCTCAGCATATAGCATCTGGTTCAGCCAGGCTGGGATTGAGCAAGTTTTCTATCTCAGTGGCTATGGCCTGCCTGCAGCTTCTTGGGACTGCTAGAGTGGTTTGTAATATCCATCTATGCTGTGGGATTCTAGGTGTGGCCTGCTTGATGCTATGCCTGGGAAGTGCCCACCTCTGTAACAAGCACATGAAATCACATGCAGGTGTCTTATTTCTTGAGTTTGAGTTTTGGACAAATGTGGTAAATATTCCAATTGCTTGTGAATATCACGTCTTCTTATCCCCTACACTGAAGTTCATGAGCTTAACCCCGAGCCTCCTAGATAATTCCTTTGTTAGCTGGTATTGTGGTGAAATATGGCATGTCACCCTGTCTTCTTTGATTGGAAGTATGTGTGCTCTTTATAGTCACCTAATTTGAGATCTGCTGTATATTCATCATAAAGTAATTGTGCCAGAAGACAGTACCCCTGACAATGCCATCATCCCTGTGACAGCTCAATCGTTTTTCAAGAGAATTCACAAGTCCTTTGTCTACTTTAAATCTCACCCACAGCACAGGTGGTGCACACCTCTTATCTGAGCACTTAATTAGCTAAAGTATGCAGATTGAAAGTTTAAGTTGAGCCTGACCCATATAATAAGACCCTACATAAATATTAAAGTGAAGAGAGCAAGTGGGGCGGCTCACTGGTAGAACACATTGCCTAGTATGCACAAGGCCCTGGGTTTCATCCTTAACATAAAAAGTAGTGAATGGAAGGTAAAAATTCTCAGAGTTATGAATGAGATGGGTCTGTAATCATGGCCAACTGGCCCACCTAATGCTCACACTATTCTCTTGGACCTGGGAATATGTTGAGTTACATAGCACAGGCAAATTAAGTTGAAGGCAGAACTAAAGTTGTGTGGTGGGTTGAATCGCAGCCTCTTTAAAAAATAAAAAAAAAATTAAAAAAAAGGTAACTATGTTAGAGTCCTAACACCCAGGAGGCTAGAACATGATCCCACTTGGAAATTATGTCACTACAGATGTAATTAACCAAAATGAGGTCACACTGGAGCAGGATGCCCTCCCCCATCCAATGTCCTTATGAGAAGGTAGCTGGGGAGACACAGGCACACAGGGAGTACTCCATGTGACTGTGAAGACAGAGAGTGGATGATGATGCTTCCATAAGCCCAGGAATGCCAGTTCCTCTCAGAGCCTAAGCAAGACCTGTGTAGTAGACCTCCCATCAAGCTCTATGGCTTAGAAGGGCTACCACACCACTTGGTTAGTAAATGTTATGTGCACTTCAAAAAAACAGCCTAAGTTATAACTATAGTATAACTCTACACACTATACACTATGACTGTAATCACTACACAGCACCTTCCCTGAAGATGAGCATTTGGAACGTCAACTGCACAATAGTTTTGAGTAGGACAGTAAGATTCATGTGCTTAAGGCAGTGGAGGAAGGCTATTTCCACAGCTGTGGTTCTTCCAGAAAAATGGTTGAGTTCAACTGCAAAAGAAAGAAAGAAAGAAAGAAAGAAAGAAAGAAAGAAAGAAAGAAAGAAAGAAAGAAAGAAAGAAAGAAAAAGAAAGAAAGAAATCAATAAGAAGAAAGGTGAAGGGTGCAGAAACTTGTTTCTATCCCATGCCTCATTGGAGTATCTGTCAAGAGAAACAGAAATATGTCTACCTTAAAAACAGCCGAAATAAGCTTGGAAAGGACTACAGTGGCACAGTGACCCCTGTAGAGGGCTCAGCACACATCTCCGGTGGGAAGCCATGCTGTCAGTGGAAATGTTCCACAAGTACCCAGTGTCCCTCCCATCACCACCAGCTTAGACTTGGCAAACCCCATTCCGTTCTTTGGAGTTCTATTCTCAATTATTCTACAGAGTTTGACTGCTGCTTTTGTCACTTTTCTTGTTGCTACAAAATACATGATAAAAGCAACTTAAGGGAAGGAGGTTGGTTTTAATTCCAAGAATAAGGAACAGTCCACCGTGATGGGGAAAACATGGCCGCAGGCCCACATGGCAACTGGTCACATAATATCTGTAACTAAGAGGCAAAGAGGTGAATGCTGATCCTTCCCCTACTGTCTCCATTTCTTCAGTCTGGGACTCAAGCTTAAATGATCCCACCCACATGTGGGTAGATAATATCACCTGAACCAAATCTCAATGATCCTTCAGACACACACAAAGCTTTGTCTCTTTAATAATCCAGTCAAGTTGACAGTATTAACCATCACAGCTACTCCAGATAACCTCATATAAGTACAGTCATTGCGACCAGCTTATTTCACTTAGCATGATGTCTCAAACCCTGCCCATGTTATAGCCCGAATCAACATCTCCTTCCATTTTCCTCTTGGACTCAGTTGCACAGTAAGTCCCTGATGTGATCTCTATGGATCAGAGAGGCTGTCCATATTCACTTGAACACATGACTGTGAGTCCTCAGAATGTAGGCAGCGCATGGAGGGTGGTATCCTATGGGATACCCAGATGGTTCTTTGCATACTCAGGAGATACAGAAGATTGATCATATTAAAAAAATGCTTTCACAGTAGGGTCAGTTCAGCAGCACTGGCACCAAAACAGGCTCACCCTAATACTTGCCATTTGTAAGCACAAAGTCAACAACAACATACAGGACAGTCTGTCTGGGAGTTGGCTCATGAGAAAGTAGAGCAGTGAGCAGAAGTGACAGGTATGATCTGACTGCTTAAAAATACAGAAATGAGAGGCCGGAGACATGGCTCAGTCGTTAAGAGTGCCCACTGCTCTTGTAGAAGACCTAGACTAGGTTTCCAGCACCCACATGGCTGCCCACAAGTGCCTGCAACTCCAGTTTCAAGGGATAGGACAGCCTCTTCTTACCTGCAAAAGATCCTACACGTGGGGTACACAGACATACACTTGGGTGCACACACACATATACATTAAGATAAAGTAATCTTTTAAAACTGTTTAGATACAGAAATAACACAAGTTAGAAATCATATATGAAGACAGTGTCTCTATTTCAAAACAGACAGGTGCCTGCCTTCTCCTGCTGGTCAGTCCTTACCTCCTGCTTATCCACATGAAGAAGACTAGTGATTGGTCAGAACATGACAATTAGAACAGAAGAGCTAGAGAACCCCTGTTACCTTAAAGCCTATAACGTGAAGAAGTATATAAAATGTCCAATGCTTACTCATCGTCCTGTTTCCCATCACCTACCAAAGAGGATATGGAACAACTGTGACTGAGTGTGTGTGACGCTGAGCAATGACGCTGAGTCCACATACCACTGAGCACACACAGGGCTGGGTATACATGGAGCAAGTGCACATAGGCTGATATGGGCTGAATACTGAGGTCAGTGGTTTGTAAATAGTGTATTGTGTCTTCTCACGGTCACATCACACAATGGGCAGGGTCATCTCCATCCCTCATGCATCAATGGTGCATCCAACAGGAAGAGTTTTGCTAACTGGTTCCTGGAGGGGGAGGAATGGGTAACGCCACCCAGCACCCACTCAAATGCTGAAAATGCTACTGATGTTTCTAAAGAGTGAGGTGGTGTGATGAGATTTCATCAGATGCCACTCGAAGCTATCTTACTGAAGAGTGGAATGGCTGTCTGTGCTCACCATCTGGAGTTGGAGATGTTTTAACAAGTATCAAGCTCTTGGGCATTGGGAATATTTAAGGGAGGATGAAAGAGAGGTTTAAGTCTAATCATCACCAAAGGACCAAGCAGGGCCAGTTCACTAGTATCCCCCAAAAGGCATCATATGTGTCCTGGGGAATTGTTATTTCCAAGTTGCTCAGTTGCTCCCCAATATCCTGAAGCTAACAGAGAGGCACATATTCACAGATGATTGAAACAGTGGGTGGTACACAGTCTTAGAAAAGCATTGCAAGTGCCATCCTCAGGCCCATTTTCCAGTGGCCCACGAGATGCCATCATCGAGAGTTACCATCTCTAGTCTGGAGGCTTCTCGGGCCATGGAAAGCAGGGAAGACCTGGTCTTGGTGTACTGGAGAGGCCTTTGTGCAAACTGTATCAGCCAGCTGATGCTGTGGTAACAAACATCACATTGCCTTAAAACAGTGTTGGGCTTTCATGGTAGAGGACAGGAAACAGAATAATAACCAACTTCATAACCACATTAAAAGTTTCTAATGGACAGGGTTTGGGGGTTGAGGGTTGGGGTGGGGGGGGAGGTGACTGGAGAAATGGCTTAGTGGTTAAGAATACTTGTTCCATAATTTATGAAGATCAGAATTTTCTCCTAGCACCTATATAAGAAGCTTATTGTCTCTGCAAATGCCTGCATCCCCAGCTTCAGAGGGAGATGGAGACAGGAGGATTGCTGGTGCTTTCGGGCTTCCAACCTAGCCGAAACATTAGCCCTTAGTTCAGGAAGAGAGCTTGCCTCTGAGGCATAGGTGGAAAGAGATGGAAGAGCACCATACCTTTTTCTGGCCTCCCCACACACATAAGCATATATGTATATACATTCTCATGCACACACATAAATAAATATCTTTTTTTAAGCTGCTGTTGGGACATGACCAGCTTTGTGCCCACTCATACTCCATTGAGCTAAGCATGTTCCCTATACCAAAAGGGCCACTGAACTAGATGACAGCTCTGGTCACTCTCTATTTGAAGCTCTGGAATTATTTCCAGAGTTGATGACAAAGATCCCAGATCCATCTCTTTCACCACTCACCCACTGCCAGGTTATCTTCTTACTGTCCTTTCTTCCGGGCAGGTGGGTGGCTGGTCAGTGGAGCCCCTGCTCAGCGACCTGTGAGAAGGGCATTCAACATCGGGAGGTGACTTGCGTGTACCAGCTACAGAATGGCACCCACGTCACTACTCGGCCCATCTACTGCTCAGAACCCCGGCCAACACCAGTCCAGAGCTGTGAAGGGCAGGACTGCCTGTCTATCTGGGAGGCTTCGGAGTGGTCAGAGGTGAGTGCCTGGGCTTGCCGCTGAGGCTGAAGTCATGCAAGAACCTGTAAGCCTTAACCATGGGGCCCACAGTGTGCTGTCTCCTCCAGGGTATTTGTGACTCATCCATATGGACCACAGTCCTCACCTGCCCTGTGACCATCTCACAAGTGCATTCCAGCTCCTGTTCCTTAAGTTCCATCTAAGATAACATGGATAAAAACAGACAAACAAACATACATAATATGGTTTGAGGTTGGCTATGTATACATCACAGAAAAAGTACTATTTGATTCCATTTCTTGTGTAAATTCCCACTGAGAAATTATAGATGGACAGATGATTGACAGATGATAGATAGATAGATAGACATCATACATACATACTTATCCACTGATCTTTTTATTCTCCTTCAGACTTGGTTGAATTATAATATGGCCAAGTTGAGTAGCTGGTTTCAAAGTCTTCCCTGCAGTGCCAAGGGAGCCTTTGCAGGTTGCAGGAGTCAGATGCTAAGGACAGTCTTTGGTATGCAAGTCAGTTGCAAATCTCACACCAAAAACCATGTTGGAAAGAGGTCAGCTAGGCCCAAGTTTTAAGTGAGAAGGCCAGACCTGGAAATACCATCTTGTCTCTGGTTATGTCATCTTTCAGGGCTTTGCCTTGACATTGCAATTATGTTGATTGTCTGGATATAAAACAAACAAAAAATAGCTAAATAAAGGGGTGGACTTCACTTGGGTTCCACCAAACCTGGAGTGGTCTAGGAAAGGCAAGGAGGCTAGTTCCAAGATACTCTTCAGTATGGAAAATATTTTTAAAATTCTCTTTGATTGCCAAACACAATTATTTTGAATAAAAAAGTATTTGGCCCATTTTTAATGAACAGAAAGCCTGCTGTTGTCTGCTTTAAACTGAAGTTTAATTTTAGACAAATCTTGAAATGTGCCCATTTAAGGACTAGAGTCCTTATCCTGCCCTTTGTGATATTCAATGAAAACCGGAGAATTTAAAATCAGTTGATTCTTTTTCTTTATATATGCTTAGGCTCTAGTTTATTATTTGTGAGAATTCTTCCTCTGTACTTAAGGTAAAGGCAAATGAACACACCCTGCCCCTTCCCCAGGAGAGCTGACCCCTAGGGCTTTGGCCACCTTGATCTCAGTGAACAAAATCTTGAACAAGATTTATTTTTTAATCAGATCAAATCCCCACATTTTCCACTCAGACTTATCCCTATGGGAAAAATAAAATCCATTCTTACCTAGAGAACCAAGTCTCATCACAGCATGGAAGAGCACCACATGGGAAGTGGAGCACCACAGGAACAGGATTTAAAGGCTTTTCTCTTTGCCCACCTCTCTGCACAGGCCTGATCCTAATCCCGAGTCAGTGTCCACACTGGCTCATCTAAAGCTGCCTGCCTAGAACACAGATCTAATCATCCCCCTTGAGTTATCCACCAAGCTGGCATTCGGTCCCTCTGCTCTGTGCCCATGAGCCTACAGCCCTTCTGCTAGGAACTGACTTTCATTTTCTCATGGTTGAAGAGACTTAGAAACTTATTTACCCAACAGTATTGATCATGCTTACTGCCTACCTCCTCCACAGATTCTTCATGACTTTATTGCAAAGAGAATCTAATATCAGAAGGAAATGAAAGGTTGCTGGAAGCCCCCCTATCCTCAGCTCCTCGGCTCCATCCTGAGGGGAAGTAAACAGATTGAGCATCACCTTCCTAGGTCCTTCAAAGGCAGCATCCTCCTGCACCTGCTCTTCCTCAGGCAGGCAGGGCTGCGGACCTCAATAGAATGGGCTACCAACCAAAGAGGGCAGAGCCAGGCCTTGGCCAAGAAAACATTGTTAAAACCCCAGAGAGGTTTTAAACCCAGAGTGGCTGGAAACCCAGACTAGACAACATAGGAACTGACCACAGGCAGAGGTGGCAACTTGGCTCTGGAGTTGCTGAGCAGACACTGTGGGTACTGGTACCAGGATACAAACCATAAGTTCAATGTTAAAGGTAGAGTTGCCAAAATGATCAGGAGATTGTCACATGGAGAAAAGGGACAGCCTTTCAGTGCAGAAACCACCACTTTAATTGCCTGGATTCCTGCAACAGCCCTCCTGGGCCAAGAGACACAATGTCCTGAAGTCTGCTTGGGAGAGGCCCCTCACATCAGAGGTCACTTTCAACCAGCCCTTTACCAGTGCCACACATATATGTACATGTGCTTCCCCAGCTCTTCCGGGTGACGCCACAGCCAGTTTTGAGGCATGCGTGGCTTTGAAACAAGCCAGTCAAGATTAGTCTCAAAGTACCATAGAAAGAAGAGTTCATACAGGGCTAGAGAGATGGGTCGGTGGTTAAGAGAGCCAGAGGCTTTTGCAGAGGATGCGGTGGTTTCCAGCACCCACATGGAGGCCTACAATCAGCTGTAACTCCAGTTCCAGGGAATATAATGCTCTCTTCTGGACTCTGAAGGCACCCTTACATGTGTGCGACATACATACACACAGGCACATCCACACACATAAAATTTTAAATTAAAACCAGTTCATAGGAAGAAAGTAGGCAGGTAATGTTTCAGGATAAACATCAATAACAGAAATGCCAACCAACTGTCCTCTATGTGTTTTTTTCTGAACATACTGGAACTTTTTAATTCAAAAGTTGGCCCCGTGACTCTGTCACTGCAGTGGCTTGCCACACATGATAAACAGAGCAGCCTGAAGTCTCTGCAGAGCACAGCCCTTAGCCTCTTCCACTTCCTGTGGAAACCAGCGTTTTTGAGGGAGTCACACATAGCAATAACAAATTACAGGGGGTGTGCGGGGGTCCCCTGAGCTGTGGTCTATATTCCTTCTGCCCTCTGGCTAGGGGCTGCAAACATATCCCCTCTGCTCACTGGTTAACTTGTCATCTTGTCCACTATGGTCTCCCAAAGGTGACCAGTCCTCTCCATCTGGGCTTCCTTCTACTTCGGGAGGTGTGTAACTGCACCATGTCTTCCTACAGTGGAGTGAGCCAGCAGCAGGATGCAGACATGTCCCAGAGCACCCAGCATCTCTGTGCCTTGGCAATTCCTCCAACTCTTGTCATTCTTTCTTGGTTTGCTTTGTTTGTTTGTTTGTTTTGTTTTGTTTTTCCAAAGATAGGGTCTCTCTGTAGCCCTGGCTGCCCTAGAACTAACTCTGTAGACCAGGCTGTCCTCAAACTCAGAGATCTGCTTGCCTCTGCCTCCTGAGTGTTGGGATTAAATATGTGTGCCACCACTGCCCAGCTTTTTCATTCCTTCCTGTTGCATGAGGACACATCAGACTTGACCCTTTGAGAGCTTGATCATCAATTATGACCCCTCAGGATCTACCTAGATACCCTCTCCATGTTGTTTCTTGCCATGGTTCCTAGGAAGTGAACTAAACTACTATATGGAAAGTTGCCATCTTCATTCTTGGTATCCACGCTGAAATTCTGAGAAACACTCACGACTTCTAGCTAGTGCCTCTTTTTCTGATGGTGGTCCTTGCCTTGTGTATCTGGAAGCCATCTGGCCCAGACTCCTTCGCTTCCAGAGTCGTCCCTAGCTCCAGCTGGCCCTTGCTTTCCTGACAGCTCATGTTTCCTTTGCCCTTTGAACTCCTGTGGTACATAGATCGTTTAGACCTGGCAACTGAGCATTAAATTCCATTTTTCTCCTTTGACCACCTGGGTACCATGAGTATTTCTGAGTCCTGAATCCTGTACCCACTACTGGCCACCTAGCTGGGTCCCCTGAGAGGGTAAGAGGACTGTGAAAAAACTCAAATTCAAGTACAGATAATATAACACCATCATTTCTGCTCCCCCACTATGGGCCTGGCACACAGTGGGAACTTCAGTGGCATTAATGGACTTAAACTGAGTAAGAATATATCTAAATACCCATATTGTGTTGTGCAGTGCTCTGCCAACTGCGGCAAAGGGATCCAGAAACGGACGGTGACGTGCACCAACTCCCAAGGGAAATGCGATGCGTCCACAAGGCCGAAAGCAGAGGAGGCATGTGAGGACTACTCCGGCTGCTATGAGTGGAAAACTGGGGACTGGTCTAAGGTGAGAACAGCGTGCTGTGATTCCACCCTGCCATGGCAGTGTGAGCTAGCACGAGCTCCCATTCTGCTGGAGATCATAATGAGGCAAGTTCTCTTTCTTTCTCCACTCCTCAGAGCTGTCCTCACTGTTGACCCTGCATGCATCCATCCAGTTCTTCCTTTTTTTTTTCATGACAGGGTTTCTCTGTCTCCTGGTTGTCCTGGAACTCACTTTGTAGACCAGGCTGGCCTTGAACTCACAGAGATCCACCTGCCTCCACCTCTGAGTGCTGGGGTTAAAGGCATGTGCTCTCCTGCTCTTTTCAGCCAGCTGCACTGTGCTGGGAGCATCCCACAGTGGCAGCTGCATTTGGGAGCAAATCAAATGCAGCCTAAAGCGCACGGTAGGTGTTTCTCACCAGCCTGGCTGCTCATGAGCCTAACCACATAGCTACCCACTATGAAATCTGGGGTCTAGGCTGAGGCAGAGCCATTTTGTCAAGGCCTGTGAAGTGCCATTAGGCAAGAGCCTAGAAGATGCAGGAATCTTCGGAGATGCTGAAGAACTGCAAACTCAGCACCTCGAGAGGCAGGGACAGTTCAATGGCAATTGAATGTTTCTCAGAATGATGCTTTTTTTTTTTTTTTTTGTGAAAACTAGGTGTGTACAATTTCCCTTATAACCCCAGGGCTGGGGCAGTAGAGATCAGTGGATCCTTGGGGCTTGTTGCCAATCAGCCTGCCTAGCCAAATCAGTGTACTCCATGCTAGTAAGAAACCTGTTCAACAAAAAGATTGATAACAGATGAAGAACTATACCTGGCATCTACAGCCATGTGCACCTGCATCCACACCTGTATAGTGGCCCAAGGCTATCCGGTGTCTTATATTATTATTGCTGTTATTATCATCATCGTTATTATCATTTGCTGTTTGACCCATGGTAACTCTGAATGATTCATTTCTACTGAGGACTGAGGTCTGTGTAAGAACTAGCCAGTAGATTGTCCCGAGGGCCTTGTTGCAGAGATACTTAGTGTCTCACGAATGCAGAGAGTATATTTGCTTCCTTATGGTCTCAGCAACTGAGAACCTCTCCACACTCCCAGAGCCTCCACCCAAGAGACCCAGATGCAATTGTCTTTGCTTGGCCCACACAGTAAGAACCATCAACATTTCAGAGTCAGTTGCCAATGTCCAAAAATGTTTTTAAATGGTACCTGAAAATTTGTTTTGTCTGAGTTTCACTATAAAACCTGGCAGTATGGCCTGTTGGGTCTGGGGTGGAAGCAGAGAAAATTCACTTCAGAGACAGAAACTTAAAGATGAAAGCTTTTGTTTTCTGTGCACACAGGGAGGTGGCCAGTTCGGGATCTGAATTGTGTCCCTGAAGGGAGATTGTACAACATTTTTATAGAATGGGAACCCAAAGCAAGGGAGAGTGGGGTGGACTGTTACACTGACCAATCAGATTTTGACACAAGGGGTTAAGCAAGGAAATTTACATTGGTGACTGGACTTTATCTGGGTCACCTAGTTTCAGGGTCCTCCATTCAGCCTTTGCAGTCAGGTCCCCTCCTGGACTTGGGCCCAGAATTTAGAATGATAAGGGAACACAGGAAGTGGGCAAGCTACACATAGTCACTTTAAGTCCTAACAGGCAACACATTTGCTACTTGTGTGCCTTAGTTTAGATAATTTCTAACCTCCTCCTTTACATCCTTTACTGGTTAACAGACAAGTGTGAAACACCTGAAGAAGCAGTCTAGGAGTTAGTTCTGGGGCCTGGGAACATGAACTCAGTTTTTGGCCCTGTCCATAAGATGGTACTTGTTTCTGAGATGGCTAGACTCAGGATACCATCCCTAACAGTCCCACACAGGCAGTTTGGTTCTGCCTCTGGCTTCTTGGAAGAGGAGGAGCCTGTCTACTGGAAAGCTGGATCCCAGATTCTAATACCCACAGAGATTCTTGTGTTGTACCCCAGCCTGTATCAGATCTCAAACCCTCCCAAGACTTCCAGAGCAAAACAAGTATCTCCTGCTGTGTCAAAATGAAGACTGTGGATAACTGAATTTGGAGAAGACCAAAAAAACCTGTCCTAATCTTTGACAAATTCCGATGAAAGAGTCAGAATTAAGGCCATAGGATCATTCCCCAAATGAAACCGATACACCCCAGAATCATGACCATTAGTGAGGTTCAGCTGCCAGGATGAATCTCAGGGAGAAGGGATCTGACTTCAAAGCTGTTACAAAAGAACAGCGCAACCCTGAGAGGCTGAGTAGAGACAGCAGTGAGCCATAGGTTTAGCCCTGTTCTGACTCTCCATGTATGTGACTCACTCTCTCATCCTGGGTCTGTGTATCTCCAACATGGGAATCACAAAGGCTATCCTTGCCTGAACCTCAAGATGTTCATGCATCCCAAGGTCTAGACGAGGATTACTCTTTAGACAACTAAGCTCAGCCGCCTAAAACACATCACTCTGTTCCCACTGTTGTGACCCCGGGTAACAAGAATGTTCTCATCCAACTTGACTTCACCTCATTACTTAGGCTTCCCTGACCCACAGCTATCCAGGCCCAGCCTTGAAGGAACTGATGACCTTTATGGCCACAGGCAGTCCTGGTCAGAGGCCGAGGTGAGTTCTAGGACCACACAAGCCCAGGTACTATTGGAGGTACAAAGTGACTGTTTCTTCTTTATTGTTCACGCTGTGTCTCACATCCTCATTCTTCTCTAGCCAGCCTCATCAGTCACTCCTCTCATTGAGAAAAGGAGACTGGAGCAATTAAGCCACTTGCCAACAGTCTTCTGGCAGAGTCCAAGATCTTGGACCCCAATTAAGTCCTCAGGGCATAAGGTGGCTTTGGGAGTCCAAGGGCTGGTAGCCTTATGAGTGCTTATGATCTTAGAGTGCCATGGTCCATCTCTGGCATCATGTCTTTCCCCTCTGGTTTTGAGGAGGAGTAGGTACTTTTGTTTTCTTAAGGACTTCGAATTTCTGCTACAAAGAGTAGCAAGGCACCAACGATGGTTAGAAACAGCCCAAGAAAAGATCCCAGAGTGCTGTGCAGCTCTGCAAGCTCACTGGTCACGTGGCTCCCTCTTCCATAGCTCTTAGTTCCCTCCCTGCCTGAGGATGCTAACACGGTGTCCCTCAAACTTGCAGGTCCTCACCTGACTATCTCGGGAGACAGAGGTCAAGTGTTCTCCTTCCTAGCCATGGCTTGGTGGATGAATGCTTCCTGGCTTTTCCGAGCAACTTGTAGGGAGACCAGAGCGCCCACCTTGACATAGCCAGCTTGGTCAGTTGTCCCTGGCATTAAGAACGAGGGTCTATAGAATGTAATGACCTCCCCAGAACATGACTACTTTACAGGCTGAGTGGCTATGTGTGTTTGTGAATCAGCCACCCCAACCCAGCCACAGCAGCTCTGTGCAGAGCATGGCCAGCCCACAGACCTACAGGGATTTAGCTCCATGGAGGATGTCCCCAGTCCCCATCCCCGAAGATCAGAGACGCATCCATCAAGCCAGATCTCACAGAAGGTTTGCTCTGTCATACAGATCAGAGCCCAGAGATGCTAAATTGCATGTGTATGCAGGGTCAGCTGGGTACAAAGTAGAGTTGAAAGGGCATAGATGTGATTCAAGAATTACCCCAGAAGCTGTCGACCCTATCACCATCTTTGATGCTGTCATCATTGGGGATGGGGGCTAGAAACATCCCCATCCAGTTAGAAATTTTCCTATGGTTTTCCTTGTCTGCCTTCTTTGGCAAGAAAGGTAAATAGGACTCCCCATGGGACCCCTGACCTCACTTTCCAGGTGATGGGAACAATGGATGTGGGTGCCACTATTTTCCTCTGACTAATAAGCAAGCAAACTAGATGGAAAATAGAAGACTATTGCTCTGAGCCGTCCTACCCTCTTCATATCAGTAGGACACCATATGATGGGAGGCAACACCTTCACAGCCGGAACTGAGAGTAGGCTGTGACTGGGGCTCCCAGAAGGTGTGTCTTCCTACCCACACAGTCTTAGATCCCTTCCACCCAAGAGCTATCAAGAGAAGTAAGCCAGTCCCAGGGAGGTGATAGGTGGGACACACCACATACCTGCAGACCTAAGGATTACCACCCATATGTAAACAAGGCCTACAGTGAAACCACCAAACTAGACAACTCTGTGGGTAAAAAGAAAGGTTTATTGAGGAATCAAAACTGCCAGGCTGTGCAGAGAGAACAAAAGATAGGGAATGCCTTGCCAGTTTCAAGGAGGTATTTTGTGGTAGGGGGAGGTGTGCAGGCTGGAACAGCCTGGGAACTAGTAGAAGTGGGGGGATCATGGGCCAGAATAGCCTGGGAGCTAGTGTAGGGATTTTCGATCCTTACAAGCTTGTTTGCGTTAACAGGGAACCAAGATGCCACACTGTCGGAGTTAGTTGGCTATGGGGGATATGGGGGTGGGGTGGGGAAATAACAGAAGTAATGAGCTTTCCTGACAAACAGAAACCCATTTCACAGGGTTTCTGAGGGATGCTGAGTTTAGGTGGTAATCCTATTTACCAATCAGAGCCCAACCTGAGCAGCCTTTTGTTTACTGTTCAGAACAACTACACTCATCTAGCTACTTCTGAGTGGAGACGTCATGAGGACGTTCTTTAAAAGGCTGGAATGCCCGTCAGTGGTGAGAGTCAGACAGGCAGGCTACAGTAGGCGACCTGGAGAGAGTCTATCAGAAGCATCTGGTTTACATTGGGTTATTTTGCCGGTTCTCTCCTGAAACATGGTCCTGAGTTCATCTTTCTCCCTCTGGATGTGAGACAGCTCTCTTAGATGAAACTTGGTGAAACAGCTTGCGCATATATATTTTATTTGGGGTGAACGGTGGCTATATAAACCTTGGAGAGTGGGAAGGGGTTTTTCAAGTGAATTTACATCAGCTGGAGCTTAAGGTACTAGGAATGCCTCATTTGCATGGAGAGATGCTTGCTGGGCAGGTTCTGACCAGGAG